GATCACTTCATTTGCTAGTTGCAAGCGGTAGATCGCATCTTTGAATACAATGAGGTACCCAATAATAAGCGGATTAAACTAGCCACTGTCAATTTGAAGAAAGCGCATCATTATGGTGAGAAAATCTACAACGACAGAGAAAAAGAGACGGTTGAGAAAAGATCACCAAGTGGACAAAATTGAAGAAAGCGATGCAGAAGAAATACTTGCCACCCCATTACCCCAGGATATGTTCTTCAGGCTCCACAAATTGCAGCAACGAGAACTTTTAGTCGAGGAGTTCACGATGAAATTTGACCAATTACAGATGAAATGCGAGTTTGTCTTGCAGGAGGAGCACACAATCACTTGTTACCTTGGGGGTCTAAATCCCGCCATTAGCAATATTGTTCAATTGCAGTCCTACTGGATGTTGGGTGATGGCCAGTCCCTATCCTAACAACATTTCACATTCAAGCCTTCACCTACTGCCACACCTACCGACAAGACTACATCCAGAGCTGGAAAGACGGTGCCCGGGAGCGAGAAGACACCCTAAGCATAGTGAAACCATAAAAGGGTAGTTCATCCGGAACAATACCTGCCTGGAAGTATTTTAGGTTCCACGATTGTGGCCACATCACTGCCAAATGTCCCATAAGCTGGGTTATCTCGTTCACGGAAGGTGTCGTCGAGGTAGTTGAGGAAGCAGAGATGGAGGACTCGAAAGAAGCACTTCTGTATCCAGGAGACAAAGGCAAAATGTTGGTCATATGGTGGGTTCTGCATTCAGAACCAGAAAGTGACCCGTCACGATTGAGACACATTTTTCACACTACGTGAACGGTTAAAGGCAAATTTGGCAGCTTGATCATCGACGATGGAAGTTGTGAGAATGTCTTGCCCACACTAATGGTAAAGAATTTTGGATTGGCCACGCAGAAACATCCTCAATCCTATTCTCTCACCTGGCCAAAAAAGAGAAACAAAATACGTGTAGATTAGCAGTGCTTAGTCAAATTCTCAATCGATGATCAACTATAGGAACAAGTTTAATGTGATGTGGTTCTGATGGACGCATGTCACATTCTACTAGGGAGGACATGACAGCTCAACTGTAATACTCTGCATAACGGCTTCAAAAACACCTACTCATTTAAGAAGGATGGGAAGTACATCATGTTGTACATGTCAAGGATACTAAAGGCGTGATCAACACAGAGGATGCGCTAGTTGGACGAGCCACCTTCATGCAATCAGTTCGTCATGCGTCGATGACACTTGCATTAGTCCTCCTAGAAGGGACCAATGAGGAGAGTGAGATACCCGCACGGCTACAATCGCTACTACATGACTTCCAGGACGTGATGATCGATAGTCTTTCAAACTGGTTAATGCCACTTAGGGACATTCAACACACCATAGGCCTCATACTCGGTTCAGTATTACCAAATCAATCCGCTTACAGATTGCGACCTGTAGAGTAAGAAAGGCTACAATGTCAGGTACATGATCTCGTTACGAGAGAATTAGTCTGAGAGAGCATGAGTCCGTGTGCTTTCTCTGCCCTTATGGTACCTAAGAACAAAGGTTCATGACAAATGTGCATTGACAGCCGAGTCATTAACAAAAATTGCCATCAAGTACCAAATTCCCATACCACGCTTAGACGATCTCTTAGATCAGTTACACGGAGTCACTGTCTTCTCTAAAATCAAGTTGCACATTGGATACTATCAGATTAGAATGCGGCTAGGAGACGACTAGAAGATCGTCTTCAATACACGAGATAGTCTCTACGAGTGGGCAATAATGCCATTTGAATTGTCTGACACACCCATTACTTTTATGTGGTTGATGAATCAAGTTTTTCGTGTCCGCATTGTGAAATTCATGGTGGTCTATTTGGCGACATTCTAGTCTTTAGTAAATTAGAAGAGGAAAAATTTCAACACCTTCCGGCGTTATCCGAGGTATTACGAGCTGAAAAACTATACGTTCATCCGAAGAAATGCCACTTCATCACAAACCAAGTATGCTTTTTGGGTTATATCGTATCTAACAGAGGCATTCAGATAGACTCGACGAAGATCGATGCAATTGTGGACTGCGCCCCAGTCATCACCGAGCCACCATAATTTTTAGGGCTAGCCTCTTTCTACCAAAGATTTGTCAGGAACGTCAACACTATCACTGAAACTGTTGAAAAGAAAAGAGTTCACTTAGACAATCACAACTCAAAATAACTTTGACACATTAAAAGAGGTGATACAGGAATCAGTTGTAGCCTTACCATATTTCAACCAACTGTTCGAGGTCGAGTGTGAAGCATCCGACGCAAGAATTGAAGCAGTACTAAGTCAAGGAGGTCACTTCATCACTTTTTTCAGCGAAAAGCTGAATGATGCATGGAGAAAGTACTCAACCTAAGATAAAGAGCTTTATACCATTGTTAGAGCCCTGGAGTACTAGTCATTACCTGTTGTCGAGCGAGTTCACGCTGTTCTCGGATCACAGAGCTTTAAAATTCTTAAACAGTCAGAGCAAACTAAAAGACTGATACACAATGTTGGCAAAATTCTTAGCTTCATTCCAATTCGTGCTCAAGCAAAGCTGGGAGTTAGAATCGAGCAGCAGACGCACTAAGTTGTTGCCATCTGTTGATCACACCCATGAAGACTCGCGTTGTGGATTTTGAGATTATAAAAGACTTATATGAGGCAGATGAGGACTTTCGGGTGATCTGGTACAAAGTGGATAACTACTTGTTCTAGCATAATAAATTATGCATTCCCAAATGCTCGCTGAGAGAGGTCATCGTCCAAGAGAACCAAGGTGGAGGATTGGCCAGACATTTTGGTAGGGATAAGAATTGCACTCTTGAGAGAATACTTCTTTTGGCCCCACTGACGAGAGATGTGGAGCGGCACCTCTGACACTGTAGGATTTGCTGGTACATGAGGCGCCATGGGTCGATGTCGGCATAGTCTTTGTGGTAGGACTTCCCTGCACACAAATGAACAAGGATTTTGTAATGGTGGTAGTAGACCATTTTCTCTAAGATTGTGCACTTTGTCGCCTACTACTGGACGCTGGACATGTCTCATATTTCTAACCTGTACTTCCGAGAGATCGTGAGACTACACGACTTTAGCAGGACCATCACTTCTGACCGGGACGTCAAATTTCTAATCCACTTTTGGTGGACTCTGGCCTAAATTAGGTACTAAAATTCATTTCAGTTCCATAGATGGTCGGACCGAAGTAATGAACAAGAGCCTTAGGAATCTTTTGCGATGTTTGATGGGAAAAAACTTTAAATAATGGGGTGTCATTCTAGCTCAAGCTGAGTCTACCTACAACCGATCTACGAGTTCCCACTTCTTGATTTGTTCCCACTTCTGGCCACAACAGAGATCAGTGAGGATGCTAACGAATGTGTTCACTAGATTCAACAGCCTCACGAGGAGGTTGGAATGACGATTAAGAAGCAGAACCACAAATATTAGACACAAGCAAACAAGTCTAGGAAGAAGGAAACAATTTAAAAAAGAGATCTCATTTGGATTTGACTAAAGAAAAAGCCATTTCCCTTGGGAGCTTATGACGAACTCACGCACAGTGTCGATGGACCTTTTTGTATACTTAAGAAGTCGAATGACAATGCCTACAAAATTGACCTACCAACTAATTCTAAAAATTTGGCAACATTCAATGTCGCGGACCTAACTCCATGCTTTGAGGACCTAGAAAGCTTTGACGTATGAGGTTGAAGCTCCCCCAACCCCAAAAGGCTGACGCGGGGGTCTGTGGTCTAGGGCCAAAGCAAGTAGAAGGTCGGTTCAGCCTTCCTACTGGACCGGATTGGCCAGGATCTTTTGGGGTGGAAGTTTCCACCCTCACTTAATCATTTATGGACCTCCTAACGAAAGTTAATCTTTTGTAGTCTGTTTTTTTTTTTTCTTGGCACGAGTTTTAACCTTTTGTGACCAAAGGAAAGAGGCCCTCCTGTTGCGTAAGAACTTAGTAAAATTCAATAAAGCGATTTTTCATGCTTTCTTTCTTTATTTGGCTCTCTTTTGCTATGTCAGCGTGTATTGAGTGATGATCATACACGAAGTATGGCATTACGTCAATGGTATCTTGCTTTCAGAACCGACTTGGTGGCTAATTTTCTTGCTATTTAGCGTTTTCTTATCCTCTTTGAAATAATTTTGGCATTGAAAGACAGATATTATGGTAACCTTTTGCTATTCAAGGGCTTGAGGTGCTATCCAGGGCAGATGTTTGATATATCTTCTATCTAGAGACGCACACATTGCAACATAATATCTAAAAAAGGCTAACATCATATGGGATTATCAACTTTCTTTGGTGAACCAGATAGCACGATGGAGTTTGTAAAAAATTTAGCTCTGTCATCATTAGTTACTTTTGATGACACCGTTCGCTAGCACAGTTCACTGTACATTAGCAATGCATTCTCATAGTACTGTTTCACCCCACACATAAGTTGACTTGGATTTTTTTTTTTTTTAATGATACTGATCAGCATATATCAACTACGAAGTTTAGTAGGATTGAGCCTTTGCATGCTTGTAAACTTTGTAATACATTGATTTTTTCTTAAATAAACGACTTAAACATTTTACATTTGAAACTTGTTTGCATAATACATGAAATTGAGAAGCTTTCTTTGTGATTCCAAGAATGTTATCCATATGAGGATTGCTGGTTTCTTCATGGTTGAAATGATTTAAAGAAACTTTAGAAATTTTACCTTTAAATTACATCCAGTACCATATCCTATCATCTTACATCACTGATGTGAAATTTAAACGAAATTAAAAGCAATGTTCATTTTTTATGTGAAAGACTTTTTAGCTTAACAAATCCAATCAGTGTTAATGACATCAATGCATCCTACAAAGAACTTGTAAAAAAATAATTCAGGTGCCTTGGTAATGTCATTGTTTTGTTTAATCGCTACTCTTTCAGTTCCTTCATTCACTTTTTTTCAGGAGGATGGATCTGGCATGGAGCAGCACTTGCATCGTGGCCGTCCAATGGCAGCATTTAATTATCTACTCAGTTTACGGGCTTCAAAGCTTAAAGATGCTACTAAACATCAAGAACTTATAAGGCAAACCAATATTCAGTCAGATGTCCAAGCAATATTGTCACCCTTAAGCCTTAAAGAATGGTCTCTTCTACCATCCGTAGGTTTCCTGCTTCAACCTGAATAACTTATGGTTGTGTAATTTACTGCATTTCTGTGTATGTGAATTAAAAAGTCTTGTGCAGCATCGCTCTAAAGGTTTTTTATTTTGTACGTCCTCAAAATGCACCTATGCTTGAATCATATGGGTAGTTCTAGCTTGAATTTGAGATTTTAAATGACTTTCTGGATCCTTAAAGTTTCTAACTATAGGTCATTTCATAGCAATAGTGATAGTTATTTCTGGTACCTCTGTTGTTGTAATCTCTTACGTAGTTCTTTTTTGCTTTTGATTTTCATGAATTTCAGATCATCCAACTGGCTGGTTTTTACTTTTTTGATCCTGTACTAGTTGCTTCATGCACATTCCTGCGGGAGTTATGCGGGTTATCCACAAGCATGCTTCGTATTGATATTGCTGCTCTGCTCCGTATTTCTGATTATTACTCTAAAATCAGGCAAAATACTCACCATGATATTTCACCTAAGGGCTCTGCTATTCATGTTGAATCTCATGAAGGTGATATCATCTACTCTCTTGCGCGAGCACTAGCTGATAATTATATACACCATGACAATCCCATGGCATTGAAGCAGAAGGAAGTTCAAGTTGATGTTTCTAGGGTTAAACAAATGTTGCAACCGTTATTAATTGTTTTGCAACACCTAGAAAAAGCAAGTTTGCCATCACTAGAAGAAGGCGGGACATGCGGATATTGGCTTTCCAGTGGTATTGGTGATGGATTTGAATTCAGGTCACGTCAAAAGGATGCAAGTCAGCACTGGAAACTGGTTACAGAATTTTGTCAGATTCATCATCTTCCTTTGAGTACAAAGTATCTTACTTTACTTGCAAACGACAATGACTGGGTACTACAGATTTTTTTTCTTTTCATTTAACTATCCACTGTCTGTATTACACTGTTAGATGAGCATTGCTGATAATCTGATGTTGTGGGTTTGCTAGGTTGGGTTTTTGATGGAAGCTCAGATCAGATTGTTTTCAACAGATACAGTTATCAAAGTGGTAAATTGATGCATTGTTCAGACCAATGATATTTCCATTGAATTTACTGCATTTTACTGGCACTCTAGGGTGGTTTAATATACTATTTTTAATAAATTAACCCCAAACTGTTTCTCTTTGTGCTCTTTAGGCAGCTAAGGAGTTCACTAATCCACGACTGAAGACACATGTTCTAACAGTACTGAAAAGCATGCCGTCAATGAGGAAAAAACAAAGCAATCCGTTAAGTGCCTCCTCAGGAAGCAGTCATGTCTTTGCAAATGATAGTGACAGTATGATACCTGTTGAACTTTTTGGAATAATTGCCATGTGCGAGAGGCATAAGAATCCTGGTGAGGCTCTTCTTATTAAAGCCAAAGATTTAAGGTGGTCTCTATTGGCTATGATTGCTTCATGCTTTCCTGATGTCACTCCTCTTTCATGCTTAACTGTCTGGCTTGAGATTACAGCAGCAAGGTTAGAAGTGCTTTACCTGGTTCATTTTTTCCCTGGTTATTTTGATTCTCTTTAACTGCACTCAACATATGGGACGTGACTATTTTATTGTTGACTTGCATCTCGCTTTCCAATTTACATAAATTTGGTATTTTTTACCTTGGAAAATAAAAGATTTTTATGCTTTCAAGGGAGACATCATTAATCAAGGTGAACGATATTTCCTCCAAAGTTACTGAAAATGTAAAAGCTGCTGTAGAGTCTACAAATGCATTGCCATCGGGGTGTAGAACTCTTTCATTTCATTACAATAGAAGAAACTCCAAGAGGAGGCGGCTTTTGGATCCATCATCAGATAGCTCTCCTGTTGACTCCTCGAACATCAGTCCTATTTTGATGGCCTCTATGGCAACTTCTGTCTCCGAAGGAACTGTATCCAATGAGTCAGAAACAAGTGCAATTCTTGAACAATCCAGGGTCTCCACTGATCCTGATGAAGCCCTTACTTCTCTGTCAAATATGGTAGCTGTTCTTAGTGAACAGCATTTATTTCTTCCTCTGCTAAGAGCTTTTGAAATGTTTCTTCCATCATGCGCTCTTCTTCCTTTTATACGGTCCCTTCAGGTAAATATCCTGTCTGGCGTGTTGGTGCTTGCCTTTTTTTTTTAATATTGTGGTGTGGTTTGTCCTTCATCAATTTATTAAATGAAATTTGACATGCTTTCTTAATGTTAATTTAAGGCATTTTCTCAAATGCGACTTTCTGAAGCTTCAGTGCATCTATCATCCTTTTCAACAAGAATAAAAGATGAATCACTTTTTATGCCAACAAACATACAAAGAGATGGGATAGTAAAAGCAGCGTGGATTAGTTCAACAGCTGCAAAAGCTGCAGAGGCCATGCTGTCAACATGCCCATCAGCTTATGAAAAAAGGTGTTTGTTGCAACTTCTCGCAGCGACTGATTTTGGGGATGGAGGGTCCATTTCAATTTATTTTAAGCGGCTCCACTGGAAAATTAATTTAGTTGAACCTTTACTACGCAAAGATGATGACTTATATTTAGGAAATGAGACCCTAAGTGATAACGCTCTATTAGCAGCTTTAGAAAATAATGGGCGCTGGGACCAGGCAAGAAATTGGGCAAGGCAGCTCGAGTCTGCTGGTGCATCTTGGAAATATGCTGCTCACCATGTTACTGACACACAGGTAATTCTAATGTACTTATTGTCCCAGTTTTGATATTCAATTCTTGCTTTATTTAGATCACATTTTACAGTCTTTCCCTCATTTTCAGTAGCTATACTTTAATTTGGCATGGACATTCTCTATATTCATGATACATAGCTAAGATGTAGAATGTATTGGAGTCTTTTGAATCTTCATTTAGTTAATTTATGGTTGAATTCTTATATAAATAACGGCATATGTTATGCAACCTATCTGTCTTAGTTTGCTTCTCTTTTTATTCTTCATATAACTTATGTTCTCTCGTGAAGGTCGAGGCAATGGTAGCAGAATGGAAGGAATTCCTTTGGGATGTCCCTGAAGAGAGAGCTGCTTTATGGTCCCACTGTCACACACTTTTTGTGCGATGTTCTTTTCCCGCATTGCAGGTTGTTATCCTTTAGTTTTAACAACAGAACTGATGTAGACTTTAGATTATCATGTTTTAGATATTTTGTTGTGTGCTTTATTTTATCTTTTTGGTTTTTACTTTTTGCTTGTTGGGCAGGCAGGGTTGTTTTTTCTCAGACATGCAGATGCTATTGAAAAAGAGATTCCAGCCAGAGAACTACATGACATGCTCTTATTTGCACTGCAATGGTTAAGCGGATTTATTACACAAATCCCTCCGTAAGATGTTCTCTGACTTTGTTTAGGATTGGCATTTTGTCAGTAGGTTAATGTACTTATGTGGTAGCGATTGAATTGATTATTGTTGTTGTTGGTTTTTAGAGTTTATCCTCTATACCTTTTACGTGAGATTGAAACAAGAGTGTGGCTTCTAGCTGTGGAATCAGAAGCTCAGGCTAAAAAAGAAGGTGATTACACTCTTACTTCAACCCATAGTCTCGGCGGTGGAAACAGTGTCAACATTATAGAGCAAACTGCCACTATTATAGAAAAAATGGATGGCCATGTAAATACATCGAGCTTGAAAGTTTCTGAGAGAAATGGCTCACGAGAAAACTTCTTGCCACTCAACCGCTCTAATCAGGTATCAGATTCTAGCAATTCTGGCACTATGTCATGCAGCACAAGAGTCAAAAGGAGGAGCAAGAACTATGTGGCACTAAAACGGCCCACAGACAACATGGACACCAACAATGAATCTGATGATTCCCCAAAGTCTCCACAAAATATGGGGAATGGTAGTGAAATATCAAAAAGTTCCCCACTACTGGAAGAAAATATGAAAATTGAAGCATCTGTTTCAGGGTGGGAGGAAAAGGTTAGGCCTGCAGATATGGAAAGGGCTGTTCTTTCTCTTTTGGAATTTGGACAAGTAACAGCAGCTAAGCAGCTTCAGCATAAACTGTCCCCAGCTCATGTACCTTTCGAATTAGCAATTGTTGATGCTGCATTGAAGGTTGCTTCTCTTTCATCTTCAAGTAGTAATGATGAAAGTAGAGATTCGATGATGGATGCTGAAGTTATTTCTTCCATTCAATGTTTTAATCTACATGTCAACAACCATGCGATTAACCCTTTGCAGGTTTGGTTCAATGCTGAAGGATGATTTGTAATTCATTGTATTTATGTAGTTTACTACTGGTATTAAGTATAGAAGGCTTCTTCAAAATAAGTTTATTCCTCCTCTCTTACTTGTGGAGGGTGAGAGATTAGCTAGTTTTGAATCACAATTTGTTAGTTAGTTGTAGGTTTTCTTGCATTAGTTAGGATTTATTGGGCGGATATTTTATAGCAGGTCCCCTACCATTTGTTGCGAACATAATCCAACTTATAAAATTTATAGGTATTGGAGTCCTTGGCATCTAAGTGTGGGGAAGGCTGCGGGCGTGGATTATGCCGGAGAATAATAGCTGTGGTAAAGGTTGCTAATGTTTTGGGACTTACATTTTCTGAAGCATTTGCAAAGCGACCTATAGAATTACTTCAATTGCTCTCTTTAAAAGCACAAGACTCTCTTGAAGAAGCCAAGCTCCTGGTTCATACCCATTTCATACCACCAGCAAATATTGCAAGAATTTTGGCTGAATCATTCCTAAAGGCATGCTTTATGCATATGATATCTGTTTGTAAATTAGTGCTCTATAGTTTACACTTAAGCTCATTAAACTCCATTACTGTGGAATTTGGTATTATTATTCTAATGTTTGCTTTGTGGATATATGCAGGGTTTATTAGCAGCGCATCGAGGGGGTTACATAGATTCTCAAAAGGAAGAAGGTCCTGCGCCACTTCTATGGAGGTTTTCTGATTTTTTGAAGTGGGCAGAACTTTGTCCTTCTGAGCCAGAAATTGGCCATGCGCTGATGCGCTTGGTGATGACAGGTCAAGAAATACCACATGCTTGTGAGGTATATATTGTTCACATAAAGTATTTCTATCAATTTTTATGCAAGATTTTTTTCCCTTTCTTTAATGCAAGATATAGTTGTGTTGTATTGCTTTTGTGACATGTTCAACAGTTTTGTCTAGAACTTCGAACTATGAAATATAAGCCTATCCATGGATGGGGGTGATAGTGGCATCCCACCAGCAATGTATGAAGATGCGGGATTCACATCCAGCTATTCCTTTGTTCTGACCATACTGGTCCAGATGTGGGAGGGTCGATCGGCTCTTTGACGTTGATTTGGCTTCTTCTTTCCATTTGGGGGGGGGATCTAATGCTAGTATCTAGAGCTTATATATGTGATTGTTGTGTTTGAGGTTTTCAGTTTTTGTGTGTTTTGTATCGGGACAACCGTCGGCATCTCTTCTTCCCTTTAAGGGTTGTTTCCTATGGTTCCAGCTGGCGCTTCGGCTATCTTCCGGTCTCCAGGTGATGATTATGTTCCATAACCCCTTCCACATCTTCCTCAAGTCGCTCCCGAGCCCTATCTAGCAGGAAACCTGCTGTTCCAGCCATTCCCCTGATGTTTTTGAAATCCTAGCCGCCACCAGCTACCTTTCCTCTTTCAATACTTGCTACCGTCGCCTTGGGACAACATGTTTTTGTTGTTCCAGCCCCTCCCGACCTCCACACCCCTCCAGGCCTGCTGCCGCCTTCTTGGAGAGCAACCTCCAGCTCTGTCCACACCGCTGCCTCCACCATCTTCTATTTTGCTGCCACCACCCAGATAGCCCTTCCACTACGATCTGCTGCTTGCCTGCTGTCCGGGAACCTAGGAAACAACCATCTTACTGTTTTTTCTTGTCAGTCACCGCTTTCCACCACCCAACCACTTTGTAGACCCTATTGACCACCTCCACCGCCCTTTGATCCAACCCTAGTGAGAGTTAATGTCATGTTTGTTACAATTTCATATTTATGTTGTATTCGGTTATAAGTTCCTATTTGATTTTCTTGTTTTTATTGGCTAACTCCGGTATCAGGGGGTGTGTCATCCTCAGTATCGAGTATTAGTTGGAAGTAGTGTGCTCAAACTTCACAAGTATGGCACTGCTAATGGTTGTGATGTCACCATGACTGAAAATTTATTTGTTTTTGTGGTGGGTGCACGCATGTGCATGCACATGTGTAAATATTTCATAGAATGTAGTACATCTACAATTGTCTAACCATATAAACAACTACCCATCGACATAATTGATTCTATGTCTATTTATCATAAGCCAATTGTGGCATACCCAAACTTCAACCAGATAGACCAAAATTATTTGGGAAATTTGGGCTTTCGAGTTTTTCTTCCTCATCAAAGTCGACGAAGATGGTGTGAAGATTATGAAGAAAAGCTCCATGTGGAGTAGGGTATGCTATTTTTTTTTTGGGGTGCATATTAAATTAACTAAAAGCTTAGAAAGCTCAATAGACTAAAACCAAAAATTAGAGGAACTCCCTGTTATACATGTGTTGTGGACAAAAAAATATGACAAATGCAAAAAACCCAAGCATAAGACTCTTTTGAATCCACATGGGCTCTACTCCAAATAAAGAGTCAACTTCCACTAGGTGAATACTCATGCATTTTGCCATGAGGGTTAAGGTTGTTTGGCAAACATCTCCAGTCAACTAGGAGGGGGGACACCAAAAGAGAGTAAAGGCAACCTCAAATGCTGGTCAATGTCCCAGTGCTCTCGAATTAGGCTCAAAGAATTAATTCTCCCTAACCCACACTTAAAGGGCAAAAATGCATAAGGGTGCCACCCGGGGAAGAAATATCAAGTGATTCTTGCCTAGGCTGTGATACCCTCATCTATTAAGTCCTCGGTGGGTTTTCACTTCCTATGGTATGTTGCAATGGATCGTAGCTGCTTCAGTTCTTTAGTTAAATGATACTTAGAAACTCGTTTCAGTCTAGCATTGCTTCGTCTTTTGACTGGATATGCTGTGAAAAAAACTATTTGAGAAACTAGCTGGTTTTCATGTAGCTCCTCATGGCTTGTCCCCTTGGGGGGACATTTCTTCCTTTGTGGTACAAAGACTCGTGGTCTATAAACATCTCCCTGCTCACTCCCAAAGTTGGGGTCGTCACATTACAATCCCCCTGTTGGCTTCGGTTGGAAGTACCCATGCCATCAATATTGCATATGGGCTCCATGCTCTGAGCTCCTTGCTCTGCTAGAGAGCCTCTATCATAGCTAGTGGGCCCCATGATACTGAAGCTAGTTCAGAATTCAACATATATGAAAGCAAACTTTTATTAAGCACGGAATTAGGAGTTACAATACGACTTAAACTATAAAGGAAAATACAACAACACTAATCTCCTACTAGGGCAGGAAGAGAAGATGTGTGGGTGGTGGTACAATCGACAAAGCAGTCCGGGGAGGCCTAAATGGTCGTATGGTATGTTAGAAAGGGGTATGGTGAGTTGTATGTGGGCTGACAGGAAAGATTGTCGCAAGGGAAGGGTGGCAGGGTGCGGGTAGATGGTCGAGGGGACTTGGCAAAGTCTATTGTCGGGAAGGGAAGGGAAGGATGAGGTGCTGAGAGGTGGACTAGAGACTGGACAACAATGCTACTGTAGTAAGAAGGTAGGGTTTGCCTCTAGGAACGTAGTGTTGCATTTTCCTTTCTAGTTTGTGTCGTTTCCGTGCTTAATAAAATTTTTCTTTCATTTTTGCTAAATTTTAAACTAGTTCCGGTATTATTTGGTTTTAGAGCTAACCAACCCTATTCATATCCTATGGTTTCCTAGCATCCGCTATGAACTAAAAAAAAATTTGTACCACCAAATTCTCTTTCCATTTTCACAAATCTCAATCCGTAAACATGACACCAAGAAAATATATGCTTGAGCCTACCTGGGAAGAGATAACAAGAGCTTCATTGCCTTCAACAGAGGCTTGCAAAGATAGATGAGATGTCTCAAGGGGAAATTACCCTCAACCGAGATCTAGAGAGCCGAAGGAGAGAAAGAGAGGAGGATCTGAATCTCTTCCATGGGGAGAATTGCAGCGATGAAGAAGACAAGCCACGACGTTTCAAAATTCAGCATCATAGGAGGCTTGAAGAGGGGCATCTAAATTCTTCCTTGGGGAGAATATCAGAGGAAATATGTCATTTGGAGTGCATAGAAACTTCAACATCAAAATAGATCTGTTAGAGTTTGATGGAGGTATGGATCCAGAAGACTTTATTGTTTGGTTGCAATTTGTTGAACGGATCTTCGAGTATAAGGATGTGCCAGAGGATAAGATAGTCAAATTAACTACTATCAAGTTGAAGAAAAGCGCCTCTTTGTAATGGTAGAACTAACAAATACAGAAGAAAATGGAAGGGAACGATAGGATTACCAGATGGGTGAAGATAAACAAGCAATACAGAGGTAATACCTCCCACCCCATTACCACAAGAAATGTTTCTAAGTTTCTACCACCTACAACAGTGGGATTTGTTAGCAGAGGAGTTCATGAAGCAGTTTTATCAGTTGCAGATGAGGTGTGATTTAATAGAGCCAAATGAGCATACTATAGTTCGTTATTTGGGATGCTTGAAGTCAACTATTAGCAATGTGGTGCAGTTCCAGCCTTATTCATCACCGGGAGATGTTCAAACTCTAATCTTGAAGGTGGAAAGACATAAGAAACAAAGCAGGCAACAGTCGTCCTTCGGGTAGCAGTCTTCAGCCAAGAAACCATTTGCAGGGACCACAATCAACAAAGGTACCTCGGGAGAAACTAGCAAGCCCGAACAAAAAAGTGACAAACCGAATCAAAGTGAGAAGAAGCAGGAGAAAGGTAGCTCCTCCAATACCGCACTGGCCAAGAATTTAAGATGTCACGGATACGGCCACATAGCCTTCAGCTGTCCCACGAGTCACGGATCATGGCACTGTGGAGGAAGTTAGTAATGAGGAGACAGGTAGGGACCAGACCGAGGTGTATCATCTTCCATCAAATAAAGGAGAAGCACACGTAGTTCGACAAGCTCTACAATTCGATATTGATACGAGAAATTTAAAGTGGCTTCGCCACAATATATTATATACTCGGTGCACCATGAACGGGAAGATATGCAGCCTCATCATTGATGGAGGGAGCAGTAAGAATGTAGTGTCTACACAAATAGTTATAAATTGGGTCTCTTGACTCAGAGGCATTCCCCGTCGTATTCACTTATGTGATTGAAGAAAGAATTGTGTCAACATTGACCGGAGATGCTTAATAGAGTTTTCGATTCGAGGCTAGTTGTTGTACTGAGTGTGATGCGACATGGTCCCTATGGATGCCTGCTACCTTTTGTTGAGAAGATCGTGGCAGTTTGACTGAGGACTTGATACGACGGATTCAGAAACACGTATTTCTTCATCAATGATGAGAAGCACATCATCCTACTTCTTTTGGCGGAGGCCAAGATCACAAGAGCCCTCACAAGCAAAGTAGCCTCAGTGGGACAAGTTTTGGTGACGACGAAGGATGATAGGATCGAGACACTAGCTTCAGACACAAGACAAACACGATGGAGGACATTTCGGAATGTCACGGTTGATATCTTACCGTCAATGCCACCACCAGTAGGGAAGTCTTAAGTTGCTCCCACTTTAGATTTGGTTAAGTCGACTGTGGATGACTTTGGGAGCATTCAATGACAGAGGCGAGATACGCAAACTCAATTTATTTTAATAGTCGACTCACAGAAAACTAAACTGATTTTGATGTTTATTCACAAGTTAGAAAAGTTTCTCAAGTGCCTTGAAGAGCGATGCACTCCAGTGGGATACAGGTGTTGCTAGGATTGCGAACGAGGGGCCAAAAGCTTTCTACGAACGAGGTTAAAGTTTCCCCAACCGCGGGAGACTGACGCGAGACTAGGGAGCCAACTAGCTGAAATATGTGGAAGAAGGAACCCTTTAGGTTCTGGCCCGGGTCTCAAAGGGATGGGTTAGTTAAAGCATGGGGCAGGATTTTC